GGGGTTGAATAATTTTGGTCACAACTGTAAAAGCTAAAAAATCATCACAAGGGACAATACCTTCAGTGAGATGTGTCCCTTGTGCTGCTATGTCCCCTTTTGCTGAAATATTTCTCCTCAGATGCCCCCCCCCCCATGTTGCATTCTATGAATGACACAGGATCCATGAATGGAGGATAGGTGGATCACTGGCAGGTCCACCCCTTCATTTATAGATTATGTTTCAGTAATAGAAGCTGTAGTAATGGCTTCTATGAATGGAACAACTGGGCATAAATATTCGGAATGCTGGTCAAAACCCCTTAGGTCTATTAACCTCCTGCAGCACCGGAAGATTACAGCGGTGGGAAGATTAGAGAAGGAAGACTTCAGAGAAAGGAGGACACAGCAGCACAAGGGACACATCTCACTAAAGGTAAGTAATGCCCTTTGTGCTGATTTTTTATTTTTTTGGTTTTATGTAAACATAGGCTTTATATATATATAAAACATTTATTTTTAGTTTTGGATAGGGTAGGGAATGGTTAATACCCCAGTCAAGTTTGTTTGTTTGTCTTGTTTCTTATTGGGGAGATCTTCTTTCACTTCCTGTCTCACACCCCGCTCACATTGATCCTGACTTTGAAATCGTGCGACTTACAGTGATTTCAAAGTTGGGATGTCATTGCGATTTGAGGTGTGATTTGCAAGACATCTGACAGAGATGTTTATGCAAATCTCACCAAAAGTAGCGCATGCACTGCTTTAGAAATCGGTGCTGCTCCGACCAAGTCAAAAGCGTACCAATATCACCGGTGTAATTTCAGACAATAGGGTGCGACTTGGTATGCAATTTTTAAGTTGCATGGCATGCAAACCACATGCCAGGTCGCACCCAGTGCGACCAGGGTTTTAAAAACACAAGCAAAAACGCAAGGGAATCTCTCCAAACCAAGAGAGGTCCACTTTTGTATATGTATCACTGGAAAAAGTGTTCCTGTTGGTGAAAATCCCCTTCCAGTAGAAAAACCTGACAGGGGTTCTAACTCTTCCATACTCTATTCAAAACAGAACAAAATTGTCTTTACATGCACTTTAATTGTAAACTCAGCCTTGGGGGTTTGAGCTACTTTGCGGGGCTTAAACTGGCCATACAGAAGATTCCTCCATCCACTCTAAACAGCGTGGATGAAGATATCTGCCATGTTGGATATTGTCATCTGATTGGATGCATTCACTGTTTAGCCAACAATTTTTTACTCTGCTTTTTCAGTCAACATTTGTGGAACCAGATGGTCCCTATGGGGTTACGCAGAGCTTACCTTTTGGCCAATTTGGCAGAAATCTGATGAATTTAAAGCCATGTCTGGCTAGCTTTAGATGAGAGTTTGGAACAGGCATTGCTAATGTGACTACAATCACTAGAAGTCTCAAAGCAGAGCGAACATATGCAGCTATATAACAGAGCAGAGGGAAGTGGATCACAAACGTACATATGTGCATAATTTCACAAATATTGAGAAGAGTAGGTCCTATGTATGTTTTTCTAGGGTGAATATAACTGTCTGTAAGCAGTTGCCCATTAGGTTTTTTTGCCATGAACAGACAGATCATGGGGGATTTGAAAACACTACTTGTGACAAACAAAGCTAGTTCAGGGCTACTTGCCATGCCTATATTTCTTACTTTATTTCAAGATGTCTTTGTTAACAATCATCAGGTTACAGAAGGAGCAGAATATAAATCTTGTCATTTGGAATTATTTGTGATACATGATATTATAAGATTTTGTGTTAATCATCAACCATTGTCTATTCTATGGGAGCTGAAACATCCACTTGTTAGATTCAGCACAGATCCTGTGTCCCTTCAGTTTTGTGGCTTGCAGCAGCGAATACTGTATTTTTAGAAGCACTGAGATATGGTTGCTATGCCGGTATCCATAGATACGTTAGTTACTCCATCCTATACCATTAGCCTGGATTGGCTGGTATCTTAGGTAGCAATTAGTAAAGAGAATATGATTTCTGAGTAAACATAGTTATATGGGATGTGTTATTCACTACAGTAAGCACTGGATTTTCTAAGTTACAGATATATGTCCATTGTTTCGCAGAAATGAACCTAGCCTTTTGCAGAGTCAGGCACCCAATGATTATATTATAGTTTATTTTGCTTGTTGTTATTGTTTGACGTGTAATCTTGTGTAGTTTCTTAGTAGCACACAAAAAGTGTTTTTCCCAACAATAACCCAACCCATGGGGCAGCACAGTGGTTAGCACTTTTGCCTTGCATCCCTGAGAGTTTCCAGGTTCAACTGCAAAGAAAATGAAACAAGAGTGCACTGGCCTAGCGCATTATCCCAGATAACTTTTATTTGACCGTAGATGAAATTATACTCACAAACAAGTGATGACAGATCGCATAAAAAGTGCTAGTCGTTTGGTGCATTTGTCCACAAAGAACCAGTAGACCCTGACGCCAATAGATTGCCATCCAAGGGCCAAGGTAGGTTTAATGCATTTCGAGGGTAACCTCTTCCTCAGAGCCCTTTATGGTTTTATACCTGGAATAAATTAAGTCCTCCTCATCGTAAATCTACTGTATGATGCAAAATTCATTTGTTCAGAGTCACATCTTCATTTATATCCACTTCTCTTCTTGCCTTCATTACCTGCTGCCCATGCACTAGATTTATGATAGAAGGTGGTGGAACTCTGAATAGCTTTCTATAGGTACACACATGGGACTTCTCTGAGGACTGTAGCATATAGCACAATGAGGAAAGCAAAAGGGGGTGTTAGGGTGATTTTGTAAAGGTTAAAAATAGTACAAATTTTGCATTTGCAGATTTTAAATTATTTTCAATCATCCACTAATGTGTCTTAAATCAAATGCATGCAACACGTAGGATCAACAGTAGGCTTTAATGCTTTGCAGAAAAAGTTGCAACTGCACTAAAGGCATTGAGGTTGATTTACTAATGGAGCAGAGGAGCGGTGTGTTCCCTGTGAATATTCATGGGCAAGGCAAATTAAAAGCTGGGTTATGCCTTGAATGAGTGGATGATTAAAGCTGAAGTCTAGCTTTGTAAATCCTCAACATAATATACAGTACAGTATATGTATATATGTCAGAGGTCCTTCCTTTTCCTCTGCGGTGGGGATGCATTTTACTTGGCAGTAGCATTATGGTGTGATGCAAAGTAAAGACTTTGGCTTTAGCACAATGGTGTAATGCACAGCAAATTACTTAGCTGTAGCAGTATGCTATAATGTCAGGGCATAGATATTTTGTTGTCCTGGGGAAGTTCAGATCTCTCAAAGTAGAAGATTTAGAAGCACTTTTGGGCGCCCAGAAATGAAGAATGAGACAGTGTTTGCATCATGCCATAGTGAATTGTGGATGTGGCACAATAACACATGGGTGTCAGGCCGGGCACTCAAATACAGGCCCCATATCTTTTGCATGGTGCAGTAGTTTCTGTAATGCATGCTGCATGCAATGTTTGATCTGTGCCATCTCATTGACTTGCACTGACTGCCCTAGCAGGTTCCCACTTCTACACTGGGAAAGTGTTCCAAACTTATGCAGGCCATAGACGGTTCGTTTATCGGCCAATTTTTCGTCTGAAAGAATAATCGGCTGATTTTCGCACTGCTAGTGGGGCAATGGCATCGGCCAATTTTCACGGTTCCTCCTCATTTCGTTTATCGATCATGCTGGAAAATTCGTGAAAAACGGCTGATTTGTGCAATCATTGGTGGCTTACAGAAGGAACGATGTTTCGTTTTTCAGACGAAAAATCGGCCGATAAATGAACCGTCTATGGCCTGCATAAGGCTGACTGTGGGCTGAGCAGAGGTGCCAGGATCAATAATCTGTTTTTTTGCATTGACTGCCTCTGAAGCTCTGAGAAAAAAATAAAAGATTGTAAAACAAAAGATGCAAATGTATGGGTAAAATGTACAATATCCAACAAGTCCGATTTTTGTAATAGTTTTTACAGATTACATGACCTATTATATGTAACAATCAATGAATCATGTGACACTCTTCTCTTTGCTTTTTTACATTTGTTGCAGCACAGAAAGCTAACTGTATCCAAGGGGTTGGCGATAGTGATGATGTCATGAAAATCCATATTTGAAAAAAGACTTGTGTCACTGGAGACCATTGGGGAACTGGAAGACTAGTTCCCCATCAGGTCTGCCTTACTTTTGATTGGCAGCGCACAATAGTGGGAGGGTTAAAAAGATGATTTTCAATCAACAGCAAGGTGGACCTGATAGCGAAGTAGTCTATCCCCATCAGGCTTCAACCACCCCTTCTACAAAACTCCTTTGCCATGGGTCTGCCACTGTGATGGGTGCAGTGGTCAGGGAGGGAGAGACTGACCTGAGAAAGAAGGATTGAGTATGGATGCTCCGACCTCAGTGCTTGGCACCTAGCATATTTATGTACCTGTCTGTGACAATTTCGGTGTGGTGGCCAAAGGAATTCTATAGGGTGTCTACGATACCCTTTATGAATTCCCCCATTGTCTCTTGTATAATAGAGTGAACTTAAATACTGGGTATAAACTTCTAGCAGTCCTCCTTCTACTGAAGAACTACCAGTCCCAACATGCTGTCTTATAGTATTTAGTAAGACAATTTAAATTAAAAAGACCTTTAAATGTATTCCCCTTTTTGCAGCCAAATTTGGATAACAACAACTTTATATTTGTTACATGTGCCCATTAACATAGCTTAACTTGCTGCTTACCATTCTAAGTATGTTTTTATAATCATGCCAAGCACTCCCTTGCTATATCATGTTAATGAAAGGGTTGTGGAATAAAGTTTAACATACTTAACCTTGTTTGTTCTCTGCTGGTTGATCTCATTATCAGTTGTAAAATAGATACTACCACCATCTATCCTAACAAAATGTTAAAGATTAAGTTCTGCATTGTAGGCTAATGCTTTTTTTTTTTCTTACTTTTGACCACATTTATTTTTTTGCACAAATATCATTTCTTAAGAGAAGCTGGAAGCTGCAACAGCAACTCTCTTGAGTTTACGTGTTGTACCTTCACAGAATCCATTCCTGAACCTGCGGTACACAACCTTCAAATTTCTAGTACAGCCAGGGCCGGTGGTATAGTGTCTCTTGGCCTTAGCAGTCCAGTTGTACTTTCTCTTGAGCTTAGCTGGGTATCCACACTTGCCACAGGTGGACTCCTGTAAATGGTAGGCTTTAGACCCACAGCGACGGCACAGAGTGTGCGTCTTATTGCGGCACTTTCCGAATGACGATGTTCCCTTCATCATCTTCCCCAACGGCCGATACAATAGAGTTAATGCTCTAAAACAAATCTGTCCCTACATCTTATCTTCACACTGTCTTCTTTCCAAAGCAGTAGAAGTTGCCTGTAGAGTGCCATATATACTTTTGTTGCAAAGAAACAATTAGAAAGGTAAGATATATATTTTTTTTAAGATTGCCTTTAGGTATACTGTGTGAATGGGTACACATAAAAAATATACCGCGAGGGTTTCCTAAAGTTGACTGCAAAAGTCAAAATACACTTTAAAGCTATCGGCTAAATGTTGCCTATGCCTTAATTTGCCTAGATATGCCTTTTTTAAAGCAGCATAAATAACATTTCAGTTTAGAATAAAGTTTATTTTCTAAAATTATCAGAAAACTTACTATATGCATAGGTTGTCAGTGTTACAGCACTGTGCCTGCTGCGATGTACCCGCTGTAGGGCAGTGGCTAGAGAGAAACGCAGTAAATTACTGTACAAGCAGATCCCTCTGCATCCTTGTTTTTTAGGTGACTGTCATCACGAACTGAAGAGCAGGGCTTCCCTTGTCCAATAAATAATGCATCCAGTGATATGTAGGCACTCAGTAAATTGTACTCTATTACTGTTCACCTTATTCACGTAGCAATTTGGTGGCATCTCTGAGATTGGCAGTCAATAATAAATCAAGGTACATATACAACGTAGGTATATGTAGAGGAAAGCTTAGTTAATGAGCATATTCAATAGGTGAGATAAATGAACAGGCTATAGCCTGATCTGTCTGCAATGTGCCAGTTTTTATTTAACAGTGCTTGCTTTTTTCTTTCTTAAAGTGCTTCTAAAGCCTAAACATTTTTTACCTTAATGCATCCCCAATCCTCATTTGATCCAGTGCTGGGCCCGTCTGCTGCAGCTTGCTCCTCTTCTCCCTGCTTTCAGAGGCTTTGCTGAGAGTAGTGGGAGCCATTTGTTCCCGTTGCTGTCAGTCAAATCCTTTGATGATGGAATGAGGGGCAAAACTGAGCCACGCTGTCTTTGTCAATGGATACAAGCAGCGCAGCTCAGGATCGAGTCCACAGGTGTGCTAAAATAAGAATTAGCTTCCTATGGTGGCACACAGAAAGGTTAAGGAGCCAGGAGTGCCATCAGGGGACCCAAGAAGAGGAGGTTCTTGGCCACTCTGTGCAGCTCCATTGCACAGAGCAGGTAAGTTTAAACCTGTTATTTGAAAAAAAAATTAAGACTTTACAATCATTTAAAATATTTTTTTAAAACAATGCAGACCTAAAAGTGGAACTACCCCTCAATTAGAACTAAAGAGCTGCTGCTCCAGGTTGGTCCACTTATCCACCCCCCACACACCTGCCAATCAGGTGCTTGTCCAGCTTGCAAGCCGATTGATATATAGAAGAAAATTCCGGATGGCATCACTCCAGTAGATCCACTTTATTGATATAAAATCACAGACAGTGGACAGTGGGGGAACAAGAGCAACTTTACTCTTGTTCCCCCATTGTCTGTGATTTTTCTATCAATAAAGTGGATCTATTGGAGTGCTGCCATCCAGAATTTTCTTCTATATACCCCTCAGTTAGCCTGGCACACCATGAATCATACCCTTTATATTGAAGGGTTCTCAGTATATGGCCCCCGTCTTTGTTATGCTAGTTTATGTACCCTTCCTTGGAGGACCATTAATCCAAAACTGCCAGGACTGTCAGATTCTACAGAATCTTCAGCTGGCAGTTTCACTTTACTGCTGCAGAGATCAGTGGAATGGGCAGCAGCAGAGGTGAGTATTCCATATCTACTTCGCAGGAAGCCAGTTTTTGTACAGTACAGTCTCATTAAATTTATGTCATCCTTGTTCCTAATGGTACACCGCTATAAAGCTTTATTGTGAACCAACAGAGAGAAACAAGCTAAAGCCAATTTCTGCGGTCCTGCTTTCCCAAGAATAGATCTGTATGCATTAATGTATCTCTATCTACTAGGAACATGAGGTAGAAAAATGCATTTGGGAGAAATAGCATTGAAAAGCACAGCACATTTTCTGCCTTTTTTTGCATTCATTTTAGATCAACTCTGTGCGCGATAGAGATTATTTTTCAATAATATAGTGAACGAGAAAAAGGATTGTGTCTGCTTTTAAAGAGAAACCCTAAAGCAACACTATGAAGCCAAACGTTTTTGGATACCGATTATCATCTATATGAGGCTGATGGATGTCCCATTCTAGAGCCATGGGCATTAGTATGGAGTTCTATAGAAAAGAAACTGAATGTACAATGGTTCGCTTGCAGTGGCTGAGAAAGTACAGAAAGATAACCATTGCATACCTGTATGAATAGTAATGTGATAATAAAGTGTATGTGAAGCTAAAGACTTTTACTTAGTTTAGGATAGAGTGAAGTAGGATCAGGGGCGGACTGACCATTCGAACACTCTGGCACTGCCCGAGGGCCGGGGTCAGTAGGGGGCCCCATGAGATGCCCCTGGTACTTTTCATTGGCTTTTTCATAGACTTTTTTGGGTGTTGCTGAGGACACAGGGGCCCCATGATCCCCTATCGCTTGGGGGCCCCATGAGTTGTCAGTCCGCCCCTGGGTAGGATTAAAACTGCTTCCTTGTTTTAACTGCTATCATTTGGAAAGTTTTGCCCTCACTTTCTCTCCTGATGGCAACAGTTTTAGCAGACAGGAAATCAAGGCAATTATGCTACAGGGACACAGACAGGAATAAAAATCTGGCAAGGGTCCTAGCCTCTAGCAATCCCCTGTGGTCATTGTGCAGGCAGAAAGCTCAGCACACAACCTGGAAGAGTGTGGCGATCACTGCAGTTGGACCAACAGTTACAATTATTGCTTACTTCCACAGTGAACCCCAAGAATGAAAAATACAGACTAACATTGGTCCAAACTGGACCAATGTAACTGGGCAATAAAGATTATACCTAAGCTTCTGCTATAAATGAGAGGGCTGGAATGCATTCATGTGTTATGAATATAAATGTTTGCATAAACATGTACATGCATTATATGTCAAATATGGTCCAATTGGGATTGTTGACTTATTCCTTGTTGTTTAATCATCTAACTGCCACAGACCAAATGACAGCTCTTTAAGTAGGCCCATAACATGCATTACTGATACATTGAGCTCAGTTTTAAAACTTCACAGTACAAATCTGAAAGCAGCATTTTTTATACCCATGTGCCCTAAAAGATAAACTCTGCTAAGCAACACAGATGCATAACATAAACACAGAGGGGTCGATTTGCTATAACTGGAGAGTGAAAAATCTATTGCAGCTCTGTGCTATGCTGTCAGACATTGGGACTTAGTGGACAGTATGGTATAGAGCAGCCTTTCTCAACCAGGGTGCCTTGAGGTTTCTTCAGGGGTACCTTGGCAAAATGTCTAAAAATTGACCAAAATTTGCATACAAGCCAGCGATGGAATGAGCCAGCCTTTTAGTTACACAAAGCCACAGGTTATCATTGTGCACCATTACGACCTTCTAATGTCAGCGTCCTGACAACTAATGACATCATCAGTTGATAAGGAGGATGTTAGCTGTCTGCACAGCATCGTAGTTTGACCCTCCCCTGCCCTTCTCCATTAGTGCTGGGGTCACATAGTTTTTCACATTGTAGAATGCAGTGACCTTTTAAAATTATGGACAGTATGGAGGCACCCCATTTTAGAATGGGGTGCCTCAAAACTGTCCATAATTTTAAAGGGTGCCTTGGGACTGTCCATAATTTTAAAGGGTGCCTTGACTGAAAAGGGTTTGAGAAACACTGGTATAGAGTACGTAATTTTGTTAAGGATGTCAGAAAAATATGCCTAGAAGGCCTTTGTGATATGCAAGTATAAAACATTCAAATAAAAGCCATGCCTCGACATTGTGTGCCGTGAAACATCTATTGCAGCTCTGTATGGTAGCCAATCAGCTTCTAACTTCAGATTGTTCAATGTAGGTTTGACAAAACAACTGGAAGCTGATTGGTTTCTATGCAGAGCTGTTCAACATTTTGCAATCTCCAGTTGTAGCTAATCAACACCATGGCGTTTACAGCACATTCCATATAAAAGGTTCAGTTTTTTTATGCTTCTGTAAGGAAACAATTTTCTGTCTCCCTGTTTGTGGTATGTTATAGCCAAAGTAACCCAGGAAAAAATGGGTGGATCCTTTGATATGAAGTTTATTGTGCTGTACTGTGTACAGGGCTGCTGTTAGAAACCACAGGGCCCCACACAGCCAATCTGACAGCCCCCCCCCCCAAAAAAAAACACATCTTACTATGCTTCAGTTATGAATGAACACAGTGAGTGATCAGTACTGATCACTCATTGTGTTCATTCAGGAAAGAAAGGACTGGTAAATGTGACATATTTGGATCCTTCTCCATCATGAAGATCCCTATTGTGTGTGTTTGCAGCTGACGGTGGGAAGGAGAGGTGGGAAGCTGGCAGCACTGTGGGAGTGGAGACACACAAGGAGGGCCTGAGTAGCAAGGGAGAAACATATGGTACACAGGGAGGGTGATGAGTGAGGCAGAGGGGCAATCACTGGAACTGATCCCCTGTATGGCCCTCTCTGCAGCAGCTGAAAGAAAGCGGGAGGGAGAGGATAGAAAGCCAGCTTTAAGCAGGTGCAGAGAGAGTCATACAGGGGATCGGCTTTAGTAATTGCCGCCCCCCCCCATGCCAATCACCCTCCCTGCCCAAATCTGATTCACTCAGCTATCTGGGCCCCTATACTGACCTGGGCCCTGTACAGGAGGACTGGTGGTACCCCCTTATCCATGGCCCTAACTATGTATGTGCTATGTATGTGCTATACCATCAGACATTGGGACTTAGTGGAGGTAATGGTATAGAGCATGTAATTTTTTTAAGGATGTTAGAAAAATATGCTTAGAAGACCTTTGTGTCTGTTGAAGCTGCATACTTTTTTATTTTTTTTTTTCCATAATTCATTTTAATATACATTTTAACCCCCTTAATATCAGC